CAGCATCTTTAAGAAGCCCCCGTGACTTCATTTATAGCCCTTTCATCTTCATCGTGCCCTTCAGAATCTTCATTTTCACACTCATTGTCACGTTCAAGTTTAGCTCGAAGAGCATCTACTGCATGGCATTTGAGTGGATGTTCGTTTTGGAAACCATGCTTCTCAAGTCCTGTTGCAGCTGAGAACCTTGGTTCCTCATTAGCCCGATGGAGGAAGAGGCAGTTGAGTTCTTGGATGCAGGGAGACCATTTCTTTTATAACCGGGCAGCAGGGACATGCAGATCTTCTCTGGAAGCGGCCTTCTTAGTTCTCCCAAGCTCCGGCAGGTGGGTCTAGTGTTGGTAGGTGGCCGCCTGGCCTCCGCTCCTGTATGCATGAACCACAAAGGAAGTCTGACCTACCCAGACCACTAGACGCCCCGAAATGTGGACATTTCCAGACAGCCTGTCCATGAGGCTGTCAGGGTGTTTCTGGCAAGCGGCTGGCCCTCCTACCAGGCCCCCGCTGGATGGCTGTGTTCCCGTCAGGTGTCTGCTGGAGGGGACCTGGGAAGGGTGGAGTAGTGGGGTCTCCAACTTTTCACTCAAGAGAAGGCTAAGATTGGCCTGACCGGGACAAGAGCCGGATGGCAAGTCTTAGATGCCTTGCAGAAGTCACCCTCGCCCCAGGAAGCCCACCGTATTCACTCTTTGTAGTGAAGCACCACGGCCATTTGCCACACTGAAAGCTCTGCCTGGGAGTGGCCGCATGGACAGCCGAGGCCACAGGTCAGCCCGTGGATGAGGGCAGGACATCTGGCACTGTCACATTGGCCCTCCTGGTGGTAGCTGTGCCCCTACACACTCACATTCTTTTCTTCAGCCCCTTCGGGCCCTGAATGACCATTTATAATTACAAGTCAGTGCTCCTGGAGCTTCGCCCGTCCTGCTGGTAAGGGCTGGTATTCTTAAACGCTGTGTGGGCTCAGTAATTGATCTGACGTGAAATCTGTCAGGACTTGTCTGAGCTGGGGGAATAAGCTAGACGAGAGGTCCCTTGGGGCCAGAGGAGGGGTGAGGAGGACACTCACCCACATTTAAGGAAGTGGCACGTTCAGGCTACAGGTGTGTCAGCAGACAAAGCACTCACTCTGAATCTAGCCCTTGCTAACCTTCCCTCCCCTGAGTGTAACTCCATCCAGTGCTGAGCTTGCCTCCCTGCCCGAAGCCCTGACATGCATTCTTGCGATCACTTTACCAAGTGAACCTTTTCCTTAGCACATTGGGGGACCACGTGAGAGTTACAACTACTACCCCCTTGCTCTCCCCGATGGACAGCAGCCTGTGAGATGCTCAGAGTCCCTGTGGTCTGGGCTCCCTTGCAGAGCACGGTCACATGTAGTCTCTCAATACGAAGACATTCATTTGAACTCGCTGGACGGTCTCCCACAGCTGGCAACGGTCTCCCACAGCTGGCCACCGCAGTGTCGTGTCGTAGAAACTGCTCAGGGGCGTCCCTCAGCACATGGCACCCCTGCCGGCCTTCCCGGCTCGTACCTTTATTATGCCCTGTGTATCATAACGTAGGTCCCAATGGGTCTTGATAGAGAGGAGGCCAGAGGAAATGCATTGTAGGAGCTTGTAGGATGGGACTCCATCCCCAGGTTTCTGCTCCTTCTGACTCCTGGCTTCCTCTCCCTTTCCAGTGGGGTTCTGAGCTGGCGAGTTAAGCTCTGGCTCTCCTGGCTTTGGTGTACATAAAGACCCTCCTTAGCTCCCCTAGACCCAGTGAAGAAACCCGTTGGCCCACAGACCCTCTGGGAGCAGCCTGGCTTCTGGGTGAGGACATCCGGGTGCCCTTGCTCCTTACCCTTTGAGGGAGCAGCCTCTCCCATCAAGAGCAACCCTTCCAGAGAGAGCGAGCGCCCAGGGATCCCACTTGCTGCTGCACACGTGCCAGTCACCTGTGGCACTTTGGGCAGCGTGAGTTGACACCAGCCAGCCTTCCAAAGAGTCCTCGCGAGCGGCAGTGCTTTCAGCCTTTCCATGGGGAAACGAAGGTCCCTCCCAGGAACCCTCAGCCTCCCAGATGCTGTGGCAGTGAATTTGCATTTGGAATTGTGAGTGCCTGCTAATGAGGCCAAGTGAAGGATGGGTTCCATTGAGCCAAGTAGTTGTGCTTGGGGCCAATTCTTTCACCCAATGCCCCCTTCTCCTCTTCTTGGGGTCTCTGCTGGAGGGGTGGGTGGAAAGCACCCTACAGAAGAATGCTTAGCTCACACACTCATTTTCCCCGGTGTTCTTACTTCCACAGTCATTTCAGGTTAAAACTGACACACACACCCCCTACCATCCCGCCTGTCGCCCTCAGCCGGGAACATTTTTCCACCTGCATGTTGAGTTGACTTGTTATGGAACAGTGCCAATGAGAGTGACCTTGTGTTCCTTTGTCTGTGCGTCATCTTCATTTGCATCGCTCCCTGGGTGTGCCATATGCGAGCATTCCAGGACCACAGAGCATGAGTGTGTGTGTGCGATTTTCCCTTTCCAGCTGCCGGAGTTCTGGGTCAAAGATGTGTAAGGGAAGGTAAGTGGTGTTCTGTGAATTGTAAAACCATAGCTGCTTCCCATCGCCCTTGGTCACCACCACACGCTTGTCTCGAGCATTTTACGGGTGAGTGTGCATAACACCCGTGCCTGTGAGCTCAAGCTCAGAAGGAGTTTGGGGGGAACCTGTTAGCAGGACCTCCCCGGGGTGGGGGGAGTGGAGAGACAGCAGCAAGCAGTTGGGCAACTCACAGTGAGGCCCAGGAGCATTCTTGAAGACAGGGCCATTTTCAGACTCAATGATTCATTTTGTTGGAGAGGACCATTCGTTCATTGATTTTAAAAATGCAAAATTCAAATGGCCAGGGTTAGTGTGCATAGAAGCCCAGGGAAGTTTGAGAAGCCTGTCCAGTCTCCGTCTCCTCTCTCACTGGGGTCGAGCCCCAAACCCCAGTCTCATTTGAGCCTCCACACAGACCCCCAGCCTGTTCCTCGGGGCCACAGTGGACAGAAGATTCTGTTCTGGGGGGAGACCCCCTCCTGCTCCCTGCTTTGCATCACCAACAATTGTTAGCATTTTATATTTCTGTAATGCAGCCTAATGGGAAGGCGGGCTCCCCTGGGGAGGATAGAACCCAGTCCGCACTGGCTGGCTCCTTGCGGGGAATCCAGAGTGGTTTCTCACTGTATATTACATCACCTCCTTCATGTACTGTGCACGTGGGAAGGGCTGAAGCCCTGCCCGTCCCGTGCTGGTAGCGGCCTCGGGCCCGCCCAGCTCTGGCTGCAGAGCTCCATCTAGAATTGCTGGTGTAGGTGGGCAGTGCTGCCCGGGGCCTGGACAAGCAGCCCAGGGGCTCTTTCTTTTGAGACCACGGCTGAACTCGGCAACAGAGTAGACAGTAGAGCCTCATCCATGCCAAGGCTGTCATCAAATGTAGCTTCATGTAGCTGGTGATGTATTTCACACACATCTGGTTATCTGGGTGCAAGGGCCACCGTTAACTCATTATCCCTGGGTGCTTCTTTCTAGCTCGGTATTTTCTTAAAGCTCAGGAGACTGGGTAACCTGGTGCCGACTGGCCACGTCGGGTTTGCCCAGGCCTCCGCAGGAGCATGCAGGGCATGTTGGGGAGGTGAACACTGATGGCCCCTTTTCCCTCCCCAGGGGTATCAGCGCAGCCTCCACCTCCACCCCCTCCAGCGCCTCCACCACCAGCAGCCCCCCTGCCGCCCGGCAGCCCCGAGGTGCCTGCACAGCTCCCGCCCCAGGCTGTGAACGGTGTGGGCCGAGGGGCCCTGCTCAGCTCCATCCAGAATTTCCACAAAGGCACTCTGAGGAAAGCAGAAACCTGTGATCACAGCGCTCCCAGAGTCGGCTAAAGCATCCTGTTTACATGGGGGGTGGGGGTGGGTTTGTTCCTTTGTCTTCCCTCCCTCCCCCAGCGCCTAACCGACCCTCTTCCTGGATAAACCATTGCTGAGCCAGTACCTCCGCATACTGTTTTGCAGGTACTCATGTTTAAGAGATTCTCAAGTCCAAGAAAGACTGGCAGTGCTGCCCTGAGATGAATATCCTGCCCCTTATTACATCTTTTAAGGAGCCTGTCTCTCCTCTAACGGGCATCTTTTGGGGGCCAGCAGCGTATCAAAATCAATATTTCTATCAGTAAGGCGATTCAGCCACAGCAGTGACTGCCGTTGGTGCTGCAATCCCTCACACCTCGTCAGACAGCTCCTAGAAACATTCCACTCCTAGCTTGGGGCTCCACTCTGAAGCTTCTTCTGGGGGTTTGTAGCTAACTCCCCATTTTGCTACCTGGGGTCCATCTTAGCCATTAACACTGTAGCCGTCAGACAGTTATGTTGCTGAGCTCAGAGAAATCACTAGGTCCCCATTGCCCCAGAAAAGACAGGGAAAGTCCTAGCATTCCCCCAGGAACACCACGTGGTTCTCGCACTCGGGGCTGTGTAGCAGTGACCCTAACCCATCTTTCATTCAGCGAGGCTGTTCTGAAACAGACAAGCTAGGGACACACCGGGAAACGCTCTTGTCAATTAGAGGATCCTCTTAACCTCAGCAATTTGATTTGGGGGCAGGGTGCAAATCATTTCGACAAACAAGTACGTTTTTCATCCGTGGAAATTAATCCTGATTTTTGAAAGATTTATCCATCATCTTTTTTTTTTTTCCCATCATCTTTTTAATGTTACCATTTATTGGGAAGAATCTTTTATCTTATAATTTGCTTAAACCCTGAAATAAATTGCACTTTAAAGGATTATAAATAATCCATTTTAAAATTCTCACACACACATCAGTGTTGGCTACTATGCAGAGAATGTCATTGTGTATAGTGTCATGTAATCTGTGATATATGTTTAGCTGTATTTTTATTAAAATAAACCATCTCAAGAAAATGTTGTCTGTAGCCTGGCACCTTCTAGAAACAAGGATCCCTGGTGGCATAGTGGTCACAAGTTGGATGGTGATCACAAGGTCAGCAGTTCAAAACCACCATAAGCTCACGAAAAGACCAAGCTTTCCATTCCTGCAGCCTCAAAACCCACCTCGGCAGTTCTTCCCTGCCGTATGGGTTGGCTGTGAGCCTGTGCGCCTTTTGGTTTTTACAAAGAATACATCTACACACCATTCCACAAGTTTCTTCCTCACTCCCTGATTCCTATTTCCTTTTGTATCACATTTTCCCTCCTAACGATGAACGCTAAGAACCCTGTTGTGCTGTTTAAATGAGGCCGAGCCTCTGTGGTTCTGTTCCAGTGTACACCCTCTTTCCCATCTCCGTGTCTGAGGGAGCGGCGGAGGGCCACGTCTGGTGGGGCGAGGGAAAACAGCGCGTGCACTCCTGTCGAGGCGCTTAGTTCCTGACGGGAGCTGGGAGGCCAGAGCCCTCCTCTGAAGTTAGTGTTGCTATTGAGGGTAGGGTTGGGCGGTTGAGTAAAAGGAAGCAATCCTTTTGTACAGCATCACCTTATTTTCCTTTTGGAACTAATTTCTTAAAACTAAAAGTTACCCCCCAGTGGACTAATGTTATTTATTTTAATAGTTTTGATATACAGTCCTATAGTTAAGTTGCTTTTAAAAAAGAGTCGTCTATACATCATCACAATCAGTTCTAGTACTCCATCCCCACTCCCGCATTCATTATTTGCTTCCTAATGCCCCTCCCCCAGTAACCCATTGCATGGTTATTGTATCTAAGTACCCACCCTTTCTGCTCCAGAGTGGGAAACCTAGTAGAAATAATAAACAAAACCAAAATGAAATGGAAAGAAAAAATAAAAAGAGTAAGAAAGAAAAAAACACCAACATTATTAAAATAAACCAGAGAGGAAATTTCTGTCATGGAACAAGGGAGAAATATTTAAACCTAGAGCAAATTGAGGTTGGGTCAAGAGGGAGGTCAACTGACAAGGTATAGTTTACTGTAGTTCCATTCACCATAATCAATAACCTCTGTCTGACAGAAGAGCTATTCGAGTCCCTTGACGGTGGCCAGAGGCCTCTCTGACTAGGTGCTCTGCAGATGGGCTCTGGGCTCCCAGGTATGCAGAGCCGTCTGCGATGGACTGCTCGCAGTCGGAGCGCTGATGCTTTTCCTTCATCACATGGAGCCTTTTTAAAGACTTTCACCTTACATTTACATTTCAAAAATACAAAAAGACACTTAAGAGTAAGGGATTCCTTTATTCCCCATCAAAACAGTTTAACAGTAAATGTATACTATAACTTTAATTTTATACACATAAGTTATCTTTTTAGGATGTAGCTTTTATCAGGCCACATCAACCCCTTGGGCTTCTAGTGTGACAGGAACATCTTACATTGGTCTTCCTCAAAGAACATGGCAATTGTAACAGACAAAAAGAAGAAAAACAAACACGGAGAGCAGGTTTTCCCAGGGGCAAGGCCACTGAAACTTCTTCCCGAAGACGAAAACATCTGTTGTTGCTTTAGAGATAACTTTATGAATAAGGTCTGACAGTATGCTCCAGGTGAGATGTATCAGCCAATATTTAAAGAAATTCCAATGACTTCGAATGTAAGCCCAAACTAAATGTTTAATGCCTTCTTTATTGCAAATATGATGTCTTTGACCTGAGGTACAGAGTTGTCTTCTAGAATCTTTGCATAAGGCATAGGGACGTCGGCACCGGTGACCCGGACAGCAGGAGCATCCAGGTAATTGAAGGCAGGACCTAGGAGAGAAGGGCTCATCGAGAAGCAGGCAGAGTAGGGAGGGGGGGCAGGACAGGGACAGGGAGGTTTCAACATTTAGCTAGAGGGAGGGCATATGCCAAAGTGACAAGGTGAAAGTTTAAGTCATTTGGCCATGGCGAGCGCTAGATATTTTAATTTGGTATTTAGGTACACAATGTTGACTACAGCTTGACTGGTGTCCAAGAACCAGTTGCTTTGACATTACCTTCCATGATCCTGGCACTGATTTCAGCTCCTACTCCAAACTGCGGCCAGCCTCCTTCAACGGTTACAAGATGATTTGTCTTCATGACACTGGCTTCTATGGTCTCGATGTCCATTGGTCTGATGGTGCGCATGTTTATCACCTAGACAGGTAGCATCATCAATGTGCTTCATGGAGGCACGCATGCTACCATAAACACAGCCTTTCCCCACCACAGGGTCTAGGGAAATCTAATTTGCCAACTCACAAACAAATGGAGAAGGGACATAACTAACACCTGAGTGCAGACTATGTCAGAGGCACTAGGTGACGTGAACGCTTCACCACTACCCTGTGATGGAACAGTGTTGCTGACCTGTATTTTACAGCTGATGAACTTGAGACTTGAGCGCCCGTAATTTGCCCAAGTGTAACCAGCAAGTTGTAGGTCCTGAATATGTGAGGCTCACTGCCCTCTTAAGTTTCCCCTCTCTCCCAACTTCTAGATCTAAGATTGATCTTCATTTGACAAAGTACCTATGATTCTAAAAGGTCCAGAACACAGGTGGTTAAAAAACTAGGATTAAGGATTAGAGAAGCAAGCAGACTCTCAGCTTCAAGCAGCATCTAGACTTGGTGACAAGGCAAGACTAGTTACATCCTGTTAACCTGATACAGAACATCCACCGACCTCGCACTCAATTCCCTCTTTGGATAGCACTGTTGCAGCTTCTAAGCAGTGGCCAACAGGTCTTGAATGGGAGACCACAGTTATATGTGTCCCTGAAACGAGAGTGGTGACAGAGGTCAGGTTGCAACAAAAGACCTGGTACCACCCCAGAGCCCACTGTGACTCTTGCCCATCTGGAAAAGCTGCAGCACAACCTCACTCAGCGGCACGAGGACGTGACAGCCTTCCAGGGGACAAAATGCAGGCCCACTGGACTGAGCTGGAGGAAGCAAGAACTATGAAGAACTGGGGCACCACACAGTCTTGATTGGCGCTGGTTTATAATTTATTTCTATTCAAATGAAGAGCAATGGCTTGTTCAAAGTATACAGAGAAGCTGGGTTAAAACTAATGTTTTCATATGTACTGTGCTGTCTTACCTGGCCTTTCGATTTTGGCTTTCCCAATAGGTACCAGGAAATCTTTTGATTGAGCTGCTTCAGGTAATTCGAAGGCAACACCGTACATCAATTCATTCTCAAGCATCACCACTGTAAAAATATTTAAGCAAAAGTAACTTCTCAAGTCATATCCAGAACACTAAAAATGTATGCACAACAGCATCTTTCAGTTTGGGAAAAGTTCCATTGTGGTAACAAAAACCAAACAGCCCACAAAATCATTGCCATTTAATTGATTAAAATTATAAAAACTGCTCACAAGCTTTACTATCTCCATCGTATCTAAAGCACTAACATTTTTACATGCGAAATCCAAACCCCACGAACCCCAAAACAACACGCACACCCCAAAGGCACCGCTCTCGGGTCAGTTCTGACTCACGGAAACCTGTGAGCAAGAGCACAGTGGCTCAGTCGAGGGCCTAGGGTTGTAATCTTTGCAGAGTAAGCTGCTTCATCTCTACCTGCAGAGCAGCTGATGAGTTTGAACTGCCAACGGTCCACTTAGCACCTGAGTGCTTTAACCAGTGCACCACCAGGTGTGTTTAAGCCCCACTACAAGCCTGGGATGGTCCCTTTTAAGCCAAGATTTCATTTCAGTTCCTAATGTTTATAAAAAGGACCCAAGGGTCACTGCTGACCTGGATTGTTATCACGAATGGCCGACTTAATAAGTCCTTTTGCATCCTCTGAGTTCCAGGGGCTGACCACCTTTAAGCCTGGGCAGTGCCCGTACCAGGCGGCGAAGCACTGTGAGTGCTGGGCAGCCACACCCGCGGAGGCACCATTGGGGCCCCTGAAGACAATAGGTACAGGCTGAAGGCCTGCGGACATGTAGTAGGTCTTGGCAGCCGAGTTGATAACCTGATCAATGGCTTGCATAGAGAAATTGAAGGTCATGAATTCACAAATGGGCCGCAACCCAGCCTGTCAAGATAAAAAACACCACGATGTGAAAAGAACAAACTCATGGCCCCGGAGAGTGGCAAACCACCACACCATTCCCCCAACATTTAAACACTGCTTTCCAAAGGGAAGAAAGCACTCTGGTTGAGTTGCACAGACAACATTACATACCATGGCGGCGCCTACAGCGATCCCAGCAAAGCCCATCTGTAAAGCAAAGTCTGAATGAGGGAAACACCTAAATCCACCAACAGTGCACACTTTCACCAACATGCTGCTAACACGTAGTTCCTTGCCAGACAGCCTACCTCAGATATGGGCGTGTCTATGATCCTCTTGTCTCCGTATTTCTTCCATAGGCCTCGGCTTACCTGTCATTAGATTGGCCACGTTACTTTTATGCATACCTGGGGGCAAAGTGCCACCTTGATTTTGCTGAACTTGCACATACCTTGTAGGCCCCATCATACTGGGCAACTTCCTCCCCAAGCAGAAAAACCTTCTCATCTCTTTCCAGCTCCTCATCCATCCCTTGATTTATAGCCTCTCGAACCGTCACCTGTCATGGGTATGAGCCAAGTCAATGATAAACTGCAAGGTCGGTTAGGCTGCTAGTGAGATTCTTTCCTTTTATACTTAACTACTCTGCCCAAAGCACCGGGGGCTTCGAGAAGTTCTGGGGGGAAATAGAACCGAAAGGTAATGGCATTTTTCCATGAACACTAGCACAGGCTTCTCTCTAAGAGTGCAAAGGAACTCTGAAAGTAATTTCTAGCCTCCATAGCTGGTCTTGGGTGTCTTCAGGAGAAGCTTACTAAACACTTTTCCTCGCTGCACACTGAAGCTTCCGAAAACGGTCCCCTTGGCCAAAGGAGCTCATACTGGCAGATTCCTATGCTGGAAGTGTATTGGGTTGCTTCATTTCCACACTTGGTGGCCTGCGGGGCTCAGAGCTGTCAGAGTGACTTACTGATCGTAAGCATCAGCAGTCCCCAGGCGCCAGGCACTGCCAAACGCTGCATTCAGGATCTTGTTCAAGCCTCACACACCACCTCCCCAAGGGTCACTCCTCTAATACAGAAATGATTGAGAGTGGGGTCAGGATGGGTAGGTAAGGGTACATCATCAAGCCCTGTTTCCACAGATCTGATCCCTGCCAGCCTCGCGGGTGCAGCCATTCCCAGGCTAGGCTCCCCTTGGGGATCAAGAGGGCTTCGGGAGGAGCTGACCCTGCACAGCAAAGGGGCAGGGAGGGATCTGCTGAGCCGGGCCCAGGGCAAGGCCGGCAAAAAGGCCCAGAGACGCGCCCCGAGCGGGAGGCTGCGGAACCTAGGGCCCGAGGCTGCCAACCGGCCGCGGCGCAAGCGCGACCCCGACCTCGGCCCCG